AGCGATGTGTAACATTTCTCCACTACATTAAAGTTTTCATCTTCAGGTAGGAAAACGAATGGGTATTTTTCTTACTGCATGGATATCTGTGGGTATATTCACATAGATTCTTGTATACTTATTGTATCTAATGCCTTTTTAGGTGCCTGAAAGTACAAGACACCGAGAGCCACAATCTTCATGTCCATCCCTATGAGGCTTTGGAAGCTCAGCTTCCTTCGATGTTGGTTGATGAACTTCGTGGATTGCTTCTGTATATTGGACATCTAGCTGAACTTCCCAGTGTAACTCTAGGAGCATTTGTAAATCAAAACCAGATTAAGGTTTGATTAGTTTGTTTTTTAAATTATCCAACATTTTTCTCCCTCAAGAAAAAGTGTTCAAGTATAAGAAGAATTGGTACAAGCATGGCATGAAATGAAACTATGATCTCCTGTCAGGTTAATTGTGTGTTTTTACTATATAAATGTGCCTCTCCTTAGTTTCTCCATTTCCACAGCTTACTAAGCTTCTAGGAGTTATGGGAAGTATTAAATGATTAGTTTGCCTAAAGTGCTTACAATACTACTCTGAATCAATAGCTGTTCTCTATTTGAAAGTGTAAATGCTTAGAAATTTCAAATAAAAATTAACATCTTTGAAATTTCTGTCATTCTCATCAATAAAGGTTCGGGCAAATGCCATTTCATTTATATGTTACAGTGAAATTTAAGAAAAGGTATTTTTTTTTAAGACAGTGTCTTAAAAATCTGAGGCTGGCCTCAGTATGATCTTGGACTGCTGATCTTTCTGCCTTTTTCCCAAGTGTTGGGATTACACACTCAAACTATCATGCCCAGTTCATGGAGTGCTGGATCCTGGGTCTTTATGTGTGCTGGCACAGCAAACTACCAGCTATACCTTTGTTCTCAAAGAAAAATCATTGTATGGAAAATTATCATATGCAATTTTACACTTGCACATCCTAGCACAGCTTCATGGTAGAGTATTTATCACTTGCACAGTGATGGTTCTGTCCTCAAGACTTGAAAGGAAAAAAATTGGATTTTGAAACCCATATTTATATATTCTAAACTCTTAAGATTTTTTTCAAATGTGGTTGGTTGTTTTAACTATGCCTCTTTTTTCCACTAGTGATAGACACTCACTCTGAAGTTTGACTTTTTTAAAATGGTATTAATAGCACAGTATATAGGTAAATAACAAATTCTGTACCTGAAAATTGGAGCATAGGTAAATGACAAATTATAATTCATGTGATTCTCTGAACTTTTACTAATATCAGTAAGTTTTTAATAATGTGATACTTGTCAAAGAGGCAGAGGCAGGCGGATCTCTGTGAATTTGAGGCCAGCCTGGTCTACAGAGCGAGTTCTAGGACAACCTCCAAAGCAATACAGAGAAATCCTGTCTCGAAAACAAACAAACAAAGAAAAAACAAAGAAAAAGAAAACCATATATTTATAGTTGGTGAATTTTAACAAGAACAACAAAAATTGACTTTATCAGCAATCACTATGTAATAAGTTCTAAAATAATTAATAGGTTAATGTGTTTAATCCATGGAAAGTAAGCCAATTACTGCTTTTTACAATCTGTCGCAATAAAGGTACATGGTAGATTTTGGAGGGTAATTTCCCTTTCTGGTTTCTGTAAATTGAAGTGGTTGTATTTTCCGGATATCCATCAAATGAGTAAGAAAATAAACATGGAAAATTTGTCTGTTAGCAGAAAGAAGCCTTTGTGCACAAGGGTCTTTATCTGAGTTTTTGTGGACATTTTGATTTGTGTGTCTTGAAAAAATATTTTATTTCAAGTCTAGAAGACTAAGTTTTAAAGCAGGAGAACTTCTTAAAATATAAGATATATACCAAAATACTGGTATGTAATAAAATATACTTTTAAAAACTTATGATTTTATATATTTTTATAGACAGTATATCAGCCTCAACTTAAATATGGAAAGCATTGTTTTAGCTACTATTTCCAGTTGAGCATCTATCTTAAAAATTTGCATTTGATATGCTACTTATTAGATATTGTATATCAGTTTCTTTTATTTCTCTTTGTTTCTTTTTCATCAAATAACC